GCGCTCAAATGTAAGATCCTACATACAGGTCTTTATTTAATGGCAGTCCGGTACAGTATGTGCTACATTCATACCAAGTTCAAGGAGCAGAATACGTCTTATAGTAATGGCATAGCTGGGATATCTTCTCCATCAGTTAGAAAAATAAGGACTCATTCTTAACAGTGCCATCTTCTTTGGTTTTGACAAATGTTTCTCAGAGAGTACTGAACTTGCAAAGTTCTTTCATTTTTTCCATCTCCTTTCTTTCTTTCTTTAATTTTTTCCATCTTCTTTGTTTGTTTGTTTGTTGTTGTGTTTGTGTTGTTGTTGTTTGTTTTCTTTTTTTTTGTTTGTTTTTTGTTTGTTTTTTTTTGTTCTTTCTTTTCTTTCTTTCTTGTTTCTTTTTTTTTTTCTTTTTTCTTTCTTTTTTTTTTTTCTTTCTTGTCCTTTGCTTCTACTGTCCTCTTTCATTTCTTTCTATTCTTGTTTTCCATCTGGAAGTAAAATGCAGGACCATTATTATTAAAATTAGTTTAGTCTGTCCTTGCCCTCGAGGGCTTGTATTTTCTCAGCCTCTGGGAGAACCACCACCTCTAGGAAATCAATGCTTGACAGTAAAATATGGTCACATTATGAATGTCTTGGTCTGGCGTTCCGCGGATAAAAGTCCTTATCATGCAAAAACAGCCATGAAGATTAGAGTGAAATTATAAAAAAGGGTTTAAACCCTTAAACGGTTCACCGGGAATCACTCAGTGAGATTTATAGACCTGCTCATTATACTAGAGTGCTTTGTCTTGTCGTCACACACAACACACACACAATACACACACACACACACACACAACACACACACCACACAACACACACACACACACACACACACAACACACACACCACACAACACACACACACAATACACACACCACACAACACACACATACACACACACACACACACACACACACACACACACAACACACACATACACACACACAATTCTCTACAAAGCAATGAAACAACTAGCTCAAGAACTTTGAGAGCGGCAGACATCAGTCATGGCCTCAAATCAACTTCACATAGCAGGGCATAAAGGCAATATGCACAGGCCACCCCAAAACAACAGAAATACACTTCCCCTCTTCCTCCTCCCTCCTCGCCATGACAACCATTGAAAGGCAAAGGGAAAAGAAAACGGGCCGTAGAGAAGTGTTTGAAACACCCTCCTCGCCGCCTTGCGCCCGGCACTTGAAACTGCCAATCGGATTTGGAAATTCTGCATGAGTAAAGTAAGGCTGTGTCTCATAGGGCTCTGGTCAAAAGTAGTGCACTATATAAGGAATAGGGTGCCATTTGAGACGCAGTCTAAGTAAGTAGTATGAATGCTATTCTAATCTGGCTAATGAAGGAGCAGAGTAAAATAGGTTAGTTAAAGGGGCAATCAGCTGTTGCTACATCAATTTTTGGACTTATAAATTAATGATGTATACCCATTGATTGTCAAAGAATATAACTTATAAATGCCTCATCGGCTTAGTTCAACTGTTGTACCCCATCAGAAGCCAAAATATAAACTTGTTTTACTCCAATGTTTGTAAACAATGTAAATGTTAACAAACACTGTATAGCCTCAAAACATGATTAAAACTATAATTTTTATATCATGAATGGTCAGTCCTAGCTCTATGAATTTGAGAGTGATTACATTTTTCCAGCCCTATCCCTCAGCCTTTTACCAAAACAGTGGTTGGGTAACCACTTTGTTATTGTTTCAACTGCAGATTGCCCCTTTAAGGTGGTTCTGAGTACCTCCTTCTCTCTGGGAGTAGCTGTGAATCTAATAGCCTACATTAGTTGTAATGGGTCCCTGATGGACACACACTGTTGTTGTGTCTTCCTAGGGCACACATTAGTTTCCAGTAAGTGGATCATCATTTGGGTGAATCCTAACTTCCACATCAGCTGAATGTTCACTTAGTCATGCATTGATGTCAATGGGAGACTAAATATACATTTGACCCAAGTGGAATTTAGGATCTGTGCCTACGTGAGAACATTTTCTTGATGACTAATTGCACAAATAGGTGAAAAGTGTTTGAGAAAACCAACCAATGTCCATAAATTCTCTTCAATTCTGTCAATTGGTTTTCTAACTATGCATGTCATGGGTTTTCATGCACCACATTACACATCACATTTTACACTTCCTGGTTTTAAAAAACAAATTCTAAGCTTGCCTTGGTTTGCAGGATTGTCTTTTGACATTTCTTGCAGTCATTGGTGCCGTGTACGGCCAATTATTTTAAACTGTAATGGTTGCTATGTGACAGCCATAAGCAGTGACAGCCTCAATCACCCTGGCCCTGTTTTATTCTGAGTGAGGACAGACTAAACTCAGCCACCAACAAAATAAGTTCCCTCAAATTGAAATTCCCTGTGCAGCATGGAGATTTGATCCATGGGTCCCTATAATAGAAGACATTTAAATAAGATTGGTTCCTGAAGGAAGAAGTCACTGTTTTATTTTTTTATCTTACCCATCCTTCATTTGTTTCTCATAACTTTAAAATGTCTTCCTGTCTGTAGTATTTTCAATTTAGATTTCTCTGGTGTTACCATGTATCTATAGAAATCTAATTACACTTCCATTATAGTCCATGTGCCGCATTAAAGTATTTTTTCTTGATAAAACCAGCATGTAAATTGAAAGTCTTGCTATCGGTATGGGAGTAATTCACTCTGTAAGGTTTTGAGAGCATGGATATTGCTACTTTGAGACAAATGTCAATGGAAGTGCATGATGAATGTCGAGTTTAATGGATCCTTATGGGTTTATATGGTGTTGGATTGTCAGTGTATGACTGACATTTTATTGAATTGATGACAATGATTTCTGAGGTTGCCTCTTTGTATGCGTGTAATGATGGTTCATTCATTTCTTCCCGTGGCCTTTAACTGAATTGCTTGTGGTGTACAATTCACTCAATCTGCAATAAGTGTATTTTTGAAACTTCTGTATATGTTTTTCATGACAAGAATATCTACAATATGGCATGTTGTCTTGGCTACAGCCATTTTTTACATAGGGTGTAGTCTCACCAAGAACAATCAACTGTGATGATGATGTCACCCATTGAATGAAATGACAATAACTGACCCTTGACCCTATGACAATGTATGTTCTTTAGCCGTCACTATTCTTGTTCAAAATCAATGTTTTGGCTCCTTTGTGTCCATTGTTAGACCATGCATTGATTCTAGCCCGTGGAGCTTAAGTCCATGTTGTGATTTTGATTCCAACTGTGTTGGCCTTAATTCTTCATCTCAGACCCTGTTAGATTATGTCCCTACAAGACCAAAACAAAGCTGCTTATACATAAGTAATATAACACATATATTAGACATTGTTGTTAAACCTGTCTATTTATCTGTGCCATGAAAAAAAAAAAAGTGTAATTAAATAAAAGAATGCGGTCATATCACAGAGGTTGGTGACAGTTTTAGTTTCAGGGAGGAAATACTTTTCTCTGTCTAAGAAGATGGAGGAGAAACCATATGAACTATGAAATGTCTTCACTGCATACAGATGTAGGATGTTCATTTGATCACCCTGTTGCAGGATAACTTTCCTGCATTGTAGGACATTTTCAACTTGTAGTCTATTTGAGGTTAAAAAAGGCTTCTGAAGTTTTGTCATTTCCACTTTGATTTTCCTTTACATCAACCCCTAGAAAATGTCCATTAATTAGGATCCACATGATACTTCACATTTCCTGTTGCTGCAGGATTATTTTCCTGCTGTAGCAAACTGGCTCAAATAAAGATCCTACAGCCATAGCTCTCAGAAATCTCCGTCCTAAGATGTGAGGAATGTGGCAGTACATTGAGAATACTCAAGCTACTTGCAGCGTTTTCAGCCTTCTAGCCTTTTATCTCCATCAGGCTAAGAAGCTGTAGTTAGTGAGGAATATAGGAAGACATTCCAGTTACAAAAGAGTTTATGGCTAGAAGGATATAGGGATTTTCCACTAAGAAGTTATACTGAACATGATAGTGGCCTTGGTTGTACCTTTGGTAACTTTGATGGTAACATCCATGGTGTGAGAGACAGTTCAGCTTAGTCATCACCAAGCCTCACTGGTTCACGTCTCATGACATTGTCATATAGGGAAGTGAAATCATGAAAGGTTATAGAAACCTCTGACCTAATCTTTTGAACTGAAATGAACTGGTCTGGTGATGTGGACTAGGCTACATCCACAAGCAGACTGTTCACTAGTGTTACTCAAGGCAACATGTTTATTATTGTAACTGGGTTAACAAAGGGATATTGTTGTTTTCCTGTGGGATGACTGGGTTTAAGGCATGACTGTTTAAGTCAAGCGCTGGCTAAAGCTTAGCATGGTTTGAATTATTTGATCCGGATAATCCTGTAGAGGAATGCATTCTAAAGGCTGAACATTTTGTTTTTGGTAGAAGCAGAAATATATTGAAAGAAATGTATTGCATATATTATTCCATCTGCTCAATAGTGTGTTTGTGTGTTTTTGTGTGTAGTTTACCACTAGGTGCATCCATGTGAATGAAGATCACAATAGTCCTCTCCTCTGTCTCCACCCCATGTTTCCTTTACCTCCCAACACCATACCAAACCTCAGTCTAGCTCCTGTTTCCTTTACCCAACACCATACCAAACCTCAATCTAGCTCCGGTCTCCAGTCATTTAGCTTCACATTGATCTCTCACTGCACCAGTTAGCCAAGACAATACAGATGGATCTCTCTGTTGCGTCCCAAATAGCCCCCTATTCCCGATGTAGTGTACTGCTTTTGACCAGGGGCTATAGGGCTCTGGTCAAAAGTAGTGCACTATATAGGGAACAGGGTGCTATTTGGGACGCTGATCACTCTCTCCCCAGCCGTCCCCTAACCCACAGCCCCTCAATCAGTTGTTCAATGTCCTTGACCTTGACTTTGTGTTGTTGTGTTTTCTCGCTCCAGGCTCCTGATCCACTGCAGAGCCCCAGTCCCAGGACCACCATAGAAGCTACCGCAGTATGAACCGAGCTTTCAACAGGAGAAAAGGTAACAGCTCACTGTATTCATTGAGTGCATCTGAAAGGGCACCATGTTTCCTATGCCTACACAGCCCTGTCTTTTGAAAGTATGTTGACCTAAAGTCAGGTTGACCTCAAGTACTTAACCACTGGGTAAGACCTGGTTGAATCAATGTTGTTTCAATGTCATTTAAATAAAATTCAATGTGATGACGTTGAATCAAAGTGGAAAACTGCCTTTGCAAAAAGAAATCAACGTAAGGGAATTTCATATTTTTTTTGTCCAACTTTTAACCTAAATCCAGTCTGAATTTTTGGGGTTGATTTCACGTTGAAATTAGGTCTGTGTCCAGCGGGTGGAGACATTTCATGTTGTAGTTCTTTATGCAATTTAAGGGTTAATCACAGAACATAAAGTAGAGGCAATTTGTACCTACCTACAATTTCATTCCTGATTAACAAATGTCTCAATCCTCTCATCTCTTCATTAGTATCTCTTTCTCTTTCTCTGGTCGTGCCTACACTTGACACTTACATGCGACTTCTGCTATCAGAATACGAAGCTCACATTGAAAAGAAGGGTCGAGATGCACAAAAATTGCTTTGTGGTCTGATTGTGTTCAGATCTGTCTGACCACTTCAGGAGGTGGTCAGGGATGCATTATGTGCAGATTTCTCCTCAGTCTGGACGCAATCAGGCTACCGAAAGCGCATAGAGTGGGCGACATCATCAGCACTCCTCCCACAAATCTCCAGAAAACGCGTGTTTAAATGTAGACGCATGACGTGTTCGGAATTCCATGATCAGAATACAAAAGCTGCATGAACTGTCAAGTCTAGACACGACCTCTCTCTCTCTCTCTCTCTCTCTCTCTCTCTCTCTCTCTCTCTCTCTCTCTCTCTCTCTCTCTCTCTCGCTCTCTCTCGCTCTCTCTCTCTCTCTAGGCATGGCTGGATACATCTGTCAGTGGGCTGATACAGGTGTCTCTGACCTGATGTTTTATCAGACTAGTGACTTTCCTCCTTTCCTAATATGCATGCATATATGCCGCCTCTGGCCTCCGATGCTCCACAATTACCACACCACCAACGTCTGCCCAGAGTTTATCTCACTTAGTAGACGCAGCAGTAGCTGGGTTTGGTGGTCTGAATATTTCATTAGGATGCTGTGAGGAACATTATATTCTGTTGTGTCAACCCCACTCTACAAATGCCCCCTCACTTTCCTGCTACTGCTTTTAAACATGCATAATAATGTGTATGTACTGGATCATAAAGCAGTCTCTACCCATCCATCCAGTTAGTACTCACCCCCATTGTGTTGACAGTATTTCCAGGATTAGTTAGCAGACACATTGTTACTCTCCCACAGTCTCATTTTATGTTACACGCTTTTGTTTTCTTTTATTGTTCATTTTTTCCATTTGTGATGTCTCCTATCTACATCTCAGAGACGGATTTACATGTAGACCATCTGATGCCACTATAGGCCCTGGTCAAAAGTTGTGCACTATATAGGGAATAGGGTCTCATTTGGGACGCTGTGTCTTTACAGCCTTTTCTGTTGGTCGTAAAATGTAGAGACACATTGGCACTGAATGTGATTTAATTAAGGTGAATGAAAAAAAGATAGTATTTTCTGAGAACTATTCATTAGGAGTGGCTGTTCAATCCATATCTGGCAGTTAGTGTGTGTTATCAGCGTCAAAGTGAGATAGTTAGGATCCATGGAGCTGTGGGCTATCCTCCAGAAACACACATACTGGACGTCTTTTCTCTATCTCTGAACCACAAACACCACTCTCTGGCTTCCCCATTATGTTAATTTGCATTACATTAATGAACATTCCAGATCAACTTCCAGACCCCCCCCCCCCCCCCCCCCCCCCAAAATACTATCTTATGCATCCCTCTATATGGAGGTTACACTAATACTACCTGATGTATCCCTCTATATGGAGGTTACACTAATACTACCTGATGCATCCCTCTATATGGAGGTTACATTAATACTACCTGATGTATCCCTCTATATGGAGGTTACACTAATACTACCTGATGTATCCCTCTATATGGAGGTTACACTAACACTACCTGATGTGTCCCTCTATATGGAGGTTACACTAATACTACCTGATGTCTCCCTCTATATGGAGGTTACACTAATACTACCTGATGTCTCCCTCTATATGGAGGTTACACTAATACTACCTGATGTATCCCTCTATATGGAGGTTACACTAATACTACCTGATGTATCCCTCTATATGGAGGTTACACTAATACTACCTGATGTGTCCCTCTATATGGAGGTTACACTAATACTACCTGATGTATCCCTCTATATGGAGGTTACACTAATACTACCTGATGTGTCCCTCTATATGGAGGTTACATTAATACTACCTGATGTATCCCTCTATATGGAGGTTACACTAATACTACCTGATGTGTCCCTCTATATGGAGGTTACACTAATACTACCTGGAGGTTACACTAATATAACCCGATGTTCCCTCTATATGGAGTTACACTATCCTACCTGATGTTTCCCCTCTATTAGGAGGTTACACTCATATACCCTGATGTATCCCTCTATATGGAGGTTACACTAACTACTACCTGACTGTATCCCTCTATATGGAGGTTACACGAATACTATACCCTTGATGTATCCCCTATATATGGAGGTTACAACTAATACTACCATGATGTTGCCCTCTCATATGGAGGTTACATTAATATACCTGATGTATCCCTCTATATGGAGGTTACACTAATAACTACCGTGATGTGTCCCTCTTATGGAGGTTACACCTAATACTACCTGATGTATCCCTCTATATGGAGGTTACACTAATACTACCATGATGTGTTCCCTCTATATGGAGGTTACACTATACTACCTGATGTATCCCTCTATAGGGAGGTTACACTAATACTACCTGATGTATCCCTCTATTATTGGAGGTGTTACACTAATACGACCTGATGTGTCCCTCTATATGGAGTTTACAACCTAATACTACCTTGATGTGTCCCTCTATATGGAGGTTACCACTAATACTACCTGATGTATCCCTCTATATGGAGGTTACACTAATACTACCTGATGTATCCCTCTATATGGAGGTTACACTAATACTACCTGATGTATCCCTCTATATGGAGGTTACACTAATACTACCTGATGTATCCCTCTATATGGAGGTTACACTAATACTACCTGATGTATCCCTCTATATGGAGGTTACACTAATACTACCTGATGTGTCCCTCTATATGGAGGTTACACTAATACTACCTGATGTCTCCCTCTATATGGAGGTTACACTAATACTACCTGATGTATCCCTCCTATATGGACATCATGGGAAAATCTAAAGAAATCAGCCAAGACCTCAGAAATAGAATTGTAGACCTCCACAAGTCTGGTTCATCCTTGTGAGCAATTTCCAAATGCCTGAAGGTACCACTTTCATCTGTACAAACAATAGTATGCAAGTATAAACACCATGGGACTACGCAGCCGTCATACCGCTCAGGAAGGAGACGCGTTCTGTCTCCTAGAGATGAACGTACTTTGGTTCAAAAAGTGCAAATCAATCCCAGAACAACAGCAAAGGATCTTGTGAAGATGCTGGAGGAAAAAGGTACAGAAGTATCTATATCCACAGTAAAACGAGTCCTATATCGACGTAACCTGAAAGGCCGCTCAGCAAGGAAGAAACCACTGCTCCAAAACCGCCATAAAAAAGCTAGACTACGGTTTGCAACTGTACATGGGGACAAAGATCTTACTTTTTGGAGAAATGTACTCTGGTCTGATGAAACAAAAATAGAACTGTTTGGCCATAATGACCAGAGTTATGTTTGGAGGAAAAAGGGGGCTGCTTTCAAGCCGAAGAACACCATTCCAACCGTGAAGCACGGGGGTGGCATCATCATGCTGTAGGGGTGCTTTGCTGCAGGAGGGACTAGTGCACTTCACAAAATAGATGGCATCATGAGGAAGGAAAATTATGTGGATATATTGAAGCAACATCTCAAGACATCAGTCAGGAAGTTAAAGCTTGGTCGCAAATGGGTCTTCCAAATGGACAGTGACCCCAAGCATACTTCCAAAGTTGTGGCAAAATGGCTTAAGGACAACAAAGTCAAGGTACTGGAGTGGCCATCACAAAGCCCTGACCTCAATCCTATAGAAAATCTGTGGGCAGAACTAAAAAAGCGTGTGCGAGCAAGGAGGCCTACAAACCTGACTCAATTACACCAGCTCTGTCAGAAGGAATGGGCCAAATTTCACCCAACTTATCGTGGGAAGCTTGTGGAAGGCTACCCGAAACGTTTGACCCAAGTTAAACAATTTAAAGGCAATGCTACCAAATACTAATTGAGTGTATGTAAACTTCTGACCCACTGGACTGTGATGAAAGAAATAAAAGCTGAAATAAATCATTCTCTCTACTATTATTCTGACATTTCACATTCTTAAAATAAAGTGGTGATCCTAACTGACCTAAAACAGGGAAGTTTTACTAGGATTAAATGTCAGGAATTGTGAAAAACTGAGTTTAACTGTATTTGGCTAAGGTGTATGTAAACTTCCGACTTCAACTGTATGTGTATGTATGTATGTATGTATGCATGTATATGTGTGTATATATTTATATATATATATATGTGTGTGTGTGTGTGTGTGTGTGTATATGTGTGTGTGTGTATGTATATGTGTATATATGTGTATGTATATATGTGTATGTATGCGAGAGAAAAAAAACATATGGGGGATTGGAAGTGATGCAGACAATTACATTGATAGAAGTTACAATCTATCTGCACTATTAATGCTGATCTACCCCCCCCCCAAAAAAAAAAAAAAAAAAAAAAATACTACCTGATGTATCCCTCTACATGGAGGTAAAATCTGTATTCTCTCTCTGGGTGACCTTTCAGTAATCCCCATGGTTCTGTATGGAATATGGAAGGAAGACTTGAGCACATGGGGAGCAATGGCCTTTGAGATGGGAACTCAACTCAGTGGGACCACTGGTCTAATGCCAATGCTAAAAATGGCTATGTTTATGCTTACCTGTTATGTGAAGGTTAACATAGAGATAGGACTAATCATTGATGACATGTTGATAACTCCTGATACAAGATACTAGTTCCTCTTCTTGTTGGTGCTTTAATGAAGATTAACAGAATCACAGCAAATGCATCATTGGGTTTCGATTGTCAATGTTACCTATATTTATATAATTTATTGTTTGTTGTACCATCACTTTGTTTATCTAATTATGTAGCTTGTAGATGCTGCAGACACTTTCTGGGGGAGAGGAACCCGGTGCAGAGCTGTTCTAATCCTGTATCTGTTTTAAGGCTTGGATGGCAAAGCATGTTTAAAACTGAAACAAATATGTTACTTTTTTTTCTGTGTCAAATTTCAATACATTTATGTATGGTTTTAACCTTAATTCATTTGTTGTTTGTTTCAGATAAATCTGGAGGGATGACACCCCCTGAGGCTTTGGCCAAGAATTACATAGCGTACAATGTCAAGGTAGGATCTTCTAATTAAACTTCCGCCTGCGTTGAGCTCACAGAGGTGAAGAGCACCATCTGCTGGACAGAAAATGATGTGCCGTTTTATCCTGTTGCAGTTCCTTGGAGTAACAGAGGTTGACCAACCAAAAGGCACAGATGTCGTAAGGGTGGCTGTGAGAAAGCTAAAGGTATGTTCCTAAGACATTCCCACAGTACTCAAACAATTCTATGATTTTTATAAGACCTTAGATTTGTCAATTTCATAACGTACTGTATGACGTTTCAATCCTGCAGTTCCAAAGGCATATCAAGAAGTCAGAGGGACACAAAACACCGAAGGTGGAGCTGCAGGTATCCATCTACGGAGTGAAATTATTAGACCCCAAGACCAGAGTAAGTCCACTGTGAAGACGTTCAACTAAGGTCCTTATAATAGGCCAGAACCTTTGGGTCATTTGTAAAGAATAAACTCACCAAGCAGTCAGCCCTTACTAAACCTGTCCCTGTCTTTGTCTTAATGTTTTTCTTTATTAGTAGCATTAGATATAGCTCATTTATCTTCATTCATTTTAGGATGTGCAGCACAACTGTCAGCTTCATAGGATATCCTTCTGCGCGGACGACAAAACAGACAAGAGGATATTCACCTTCATCTGCACAGAGCCAGAGACCAAAAAACACATATGTTATGTGTTCGACAGTGAAAAATGTGTAAGAAAGAAAATATAATTTAGTGTTTGTGTATTTCATTTGTTTTATATGGATTCTTTAGAGGTTATAATAACCTTATATGAACCTTAGATGTAAATGTATCAAACGTTAGTCCATAGTATGAGGTCACTGTGGTTTGGTAGCACTAATGAATTTATCCTAACTAGTTGTTTCAGGTTTAAAGAGATGTTAGAGGTTTTGTATACCTTTAAGCTAGTAGTTCTGAAAATAGCGGTCAAGAGCGAAAAAGGGTCCCCGAAAACTGTGTACTATGTTATATATGTGCAACACGTCAAAGGGTACATTCACTAGATGTTTAAGGATACCCATGATGCACTGGATTGCAGGCAGAGGAGATCACCTTCAGCATTGGTCGAGCCTTTGACCTGGCATACAGGAAGTTCCTGGAGTCTGGCGGGAAAGACGTGGAGGTGAGGAAACAGATCATCAGTCTGCAGAAAAGAGTAAGTCTGCGTTCCTTTTACAGTGTACTACTTTAGATCAGAGCCCCACGGTGCACTATTGAATCATGGGGAATGTAGTGCCACATCCTGAGATAACTAGTGCATGAAAAATGCATGACAAAATGTGACCTCTTCGATCATGCTCTTGACTTGTGTTTGTTGACTTTAGATTCTGGAACTGGAAACTGAAAATTCCAAGTTGAAAGATCGACTTCAAGATCTAGAGGATCACATGGCAGATTGTCAAGGCTCGCCGGTAAATTGGAGGATTAGCTACTAATCCAACAGTCTCCATGCTTGTTCTGTTTCTGTATCACACTAAGCCCTAGAAATGTCCGCCTTAACAATAGCTTACCTTACTTTCTGACATCAGTGATAACAAATCTCTACCCCTGTTTCTTCTTTCTCTGGCTGATTTCTCCTCAGCTTTTGCATTTGAACTCTTCTAATGAGGCCCACATGCTGCCGAGTCCCTCGTCTATGTTCTGGGGTGACAGTGTCAGCCTGAACGCCCTTTCCTTTCTAGAGATGTCCTCTGTGGCTCTAACCCCAGCCAGCTCTCCAGACTCCAGCATCTCCGCTGGTCTACTAACCCCTCCACCCACTAAACCTGCCCAGCCCAGGCTACCGCTGCATAATGGATGCTGCTTACCTCGCCCGCGAGTAAATAACTACCTCTCTCTCTTTTTGCTTTTCCTTACTACAGTACACTGCTAGAAGAAATTGTGCTATATAGAAGCAAAAGGGTTCTATGGCTCACTTCATATACAAAGGTTATATAGAATCACAGAAGCGCCCTTATTTTTAGAAAGTGTAGAACGTAGGTCTATGTCTCTCTTTCCCTCGCTTTATCTGTAACTCTTTGTCTTTGTCTCTCTGTCTCTCTCTCTCTGTCTCTCTCTCTCGGTCTCTCTCTGCGTGTGTTTGGTGTTGGTTTTATAACTGTAGCCTTAGTATAACATTCAGCTGCCATTCAACATCTTTGTATTTCGTTGTTCTCTCCCCTCAGGCATGGAGCACCATATCCAGACCTCCCCCCACGGACGTTTTCGACATGGTTCCATTCTCCTCAGGGTCTCCTATGGCAAGGAAACCTGCCATCAATGGGTCCTCTCCTCCTCCTCCTCCCTCCTTTTCCCCTCCTCCACCTCCTCCACATGTTTCCCTGAAAGAGAGAGGTGACTACTCTGCTGCACTACACTCCTTTTTACATTATGTCGTAATGAAATTGATTGATAAACTGCTGTATTGGTATTTATGCAATTACATACAAGTTGCTCAATTAACAATTGCACACATACAGTATGCTGATTCAACTCCTGTCTTCTCTCGCTCCCTCATCCTTCCATCTCTCCCCTCCATCAGGAACAGATATTTTTGGGGCGGAGTCTTTTGATCCGTTCGTCTGCAACACAACAGCCTTTCCTCCTGACGTCCAATCTAAGCTGGATGAAATGCAGGTGTGTACATTCACTGTAGGAACAGCAGTGTTTCTTGAGCTAGGCTTTGTAATGCTCATATATTTACGTTAATAAGAGGCATATTACTTATAACGTCAAAGTACACAGGCATATTATGTGCTCAGTCAATGGTGTAAATAATAGCATTGCCTCTGAACAAATATAGAGCACTCTACCATTATGCTGATTTAGATCAAATACTGTATACTCTGGCTGGGATCCAATCGACATGGATTCTGCCTTTTAGAATGGGGCACAGCCTTTGTTTCTCTGGTCATCAGTAGTAGGAGTCTCTCAGAACAGTGATGACGAATTTATAGTTGATCTTACTACCATCCCTTAATAGCATATATTAAGTATATAATCTAACTAGATAATGAACCTACAGTTAATCTAGCTACATATTATAATCTAACTAGATTATAACCTACTCTAACCTACAGTATATAATCTTATTCTCTCCCTCTCTCTCTTCACTGTGCAGCGTCAGCGACGGTTAGTTTACTCTCACCTATATGTATGCATCTGGATGCTTCACAATCCACAATGCCCATCACATCTTTTTTCCCATTAAAAATGCATTCACATTTTCACTGAGGTCTGCCTCTGTTTGAATGTTTGCATCACTCACGAAAATCTATGATGTACATACAGGCCAACTGTCATACATACAGTATGATTGTAGCCTACCATGTTTGCTACCAGCCTGCTGGTGCTAGCCCTGCTAATTTCCTATCAATTAGCCATCATTTTGATTTTGTCATAATATAGATGAAGTATAGTCCTGAATTGAAAAGCAAGGTTTATTGAGAATCTCAATTGAGATTGTGTCTGGGAAACTGCCCCGTAATTACAGTGTTATTCATCATTATATAGGACACACTGCTCTAGACTTCTGTAGTCTCTGGTTGGATCACTGACCTGTATGTTCATTTATTTGTTGTGTGTGTTTCTGAAGGAGGGGTTCAATATGGGACTAACCCTGGAGGGCACCATCTTCTCTCTGGACCCAGTGGACAGTCGCAGCTGACCACAACGCAACCCTAACATGGACAGTTGATATTGACCCCAACGCAACCCTAACATGGACAGTTGATGTTGACCACAACGCAACCCTAACATGGACAGTTGATGTTGACCACAACTAACCCTAACATGGACAGTTGATGTTGACCCCAACGCTTTCCTTTCCTTTTGTAGACATGAGGATTCATTGGTAAATAAGTATTTTTATGAGAAAACAATTCTGGGACTATACGTCTTTCTATATGCATTGATTTAAATGAAGACCAATGTCATGATAAATGCACTGCAGTATATTACTATTTTTGTACCCCAAAAAATAAAATCGCTGTGTAATTTTTGGGGGGGATGAGTTCATTGCTTTTGCGATTTTTGTCATTCGGATTATTGTACAGTCATTAAAATGTGATTAGTGGTTGACGAGATTGGAAGAGCATTAGCTCATCATTGACTTAATCTCATTTTATAGATGCATGCCCTGCCTCGAACTGTAACAAATATTTTTCTGTATAATTTTGCACCAGGAAGCACTTTTTAAATTACCTTTTACCCTTTCTTTTCATTGTTATTCGTCGATAAACATTGTAGCGGTATTGTTAGAGAGGGGTACAGATATTTATTCGGGCGGCAGGCAGGTATTAAGGAAAAGAAGAGGATAGAAAGAGGACTGCTACCAGACACACACACATCAGCAGAAGAGACGGCCTACCTAGAGGGTAGCCTGTTTGCCAGATATCCTTTCTCTCCACTGGCTAAGACACACCATATAAAACATACGTTACAGCACAGGACGTAACCCAACCAATAATACCTCATACAATAATAATGGCAGAGCAATTCAAAAGGCAACTTCATAGAAACAATTGACATGAAAGAACCCAGTCATAAACCTTTAGAGAATTTTCAATATTCTGTATTACCTCCCAGTGGAGGAGTGAGGGGGGTATGAATGTGTGTGTGTGGGTGTGTTCATAGACAAACAAAGGCCTTAAAATGTCCAAAAATCTTCTTGGCCAAATGTCAATAGTCCCACACAAAACCAATACAGTTCAAACAATAATAAATAAACAAATTCAAGCAACCTTCCTTTAACTAAAATGTCAAACAGTCCTACGGTGCATTAATAGTTCACCAAAGCACTGAACATAAAAGAGAGCAATTATTTCAGTGTAAAGCAAAGAGAGCAATTATTTCAGTGTAAAGCACTGAAGAAAGAGTTATGCCCCGTGTACACTAGCATGCGGTAAACTCCCGCATGCCCCTTCAGCCGCCCAGAGTGGCTCGCTTGTTGGCGTGCTGGCAGCATTTGGCAACATTTGGCAGCATATAGCAGCTAGTTCGATTGTGCGTCAAGATATCAGCATAGCTAGTTTGTATGAAGGTCTGATTATTCACAGGTAAATAGTAATCTGCTCTAAATCGTTCTGGTAACAACCAAACCTCGCTGCCCTGTTTCCAATCGTCCACATGGCTGGGAGAACCTATTCAAGTAAGTGAATACATTTCAAAAATATAAAACAAACAATGTATTATTAGCTACCTAGCTACAGTGCAGGCTAACTCAAATGAGCTGCTAACATAGCTAACTAGTTATCTAGCCAACTTTACATACTGTATAGATAGCTAGCTAAGTTAATTAAATTTTACCAGCTACCTAACTTAATATTAGCTAGCTATCTTGATATATTTATCACTGTAAAAAACAAACTCCAAATGCATTTGTAGGTAGCTAGCTAACAGCCGTGGAGGAGGGTGAAAGGATAGCAGCCCCATCTGTCAAAGTGAGAGAGTAGGCTATTCTCGATAGGGCAGGTACTTTTGTGTAGTTCCAGTCCCTAGAAGTGAGGACAGTGAACATTATATTCAGTGCTGTATAATTTAGTCTGTTTCTTGTGTGGTTTTCTGTCCTCAGATACAGAGAGCTGTGAAAGCCTGTCTGCAGATGAAGAGGTCCCAATGAAGAGCAGTTGTTCTCAGTCCTGGTCCTGGGGACTGAAAGGGGTGCACATTTTTGTTTTTGCCTTAGCACTACACAGCTGATTCAAATGATCAAGTCATCATCAAGCTTCAAGTGGTATTTATGTATTCATTTGTGACGCTATCCTTGATATGATCCTTCTATTGTCACATGCTACACATGCATCTATCTAGCCAATGTTATCATGATTTGTTAAAATAGATATTATACTTTAGTCATCCACAATGACCTGGTGATGTAAAAGTCTAATAATGACATTATCTTCCATATTCCTACAGATACCTTGTAACTGGAGATTCCTTCAAAACGATTGCCTACAGTTACCGTGTAGGGCACTGAAAGGCTTGTTGTTTAAAACCAGTTAAATGTAACTAAGTGTGATTGAAAATGTCATTTACGTAATCCCCCAAAATAATAATTTATCATGAGAGGGCCATAAACAAGAAAAAGTAATGCTGCATACTCAAAGAAAGGTTAAAATGTCACCTTTCTGATAAAAATAGTTATAAATTGCTTAAGTGTAGTCACTTTTGAGGACTTTTGTAGTTCCTATTCAACAAAACTGTATGAATAAGGCTCAAAATGACATATGCTTTCTAAATATAGCATAATCAAATTATAAAACCACTAACCATTAGATTTCACCTTATAACTGTAAAATGCATATTTGTATGTTTAGTGTTAGAGAAAATGTGAATATTTTCTAAAGGTCTCTCTTGATCAAAAAGTCTGCCCCCATCGTCTCACAGAGCTCTAGCTTGGCTTCCTGAACTCGTTAGGAGCCTATAAACAACAGCCTGAACAACAAGCCTATAAACAACAGCCTGAACAACAAGACTATAAACAGCCTGAACAACAAGCATATCAACAGCCTGAACAACAAGCCTATAAACAACAGCCTGAACAACAAGCTTATCAACAGCCTGAACAACAAGACTATAAACAGCCTGAACAACAAGCATATCAACAGCCTGAACAACAAGCCTATCAACAGCCTGAACAACCAGCCTATAAACAACAGCCTGAACAACAAGCCTGAACAACAAGCCTATAAACAGCCTGAACAACAAGCCTATCAACAGCCTGAACAACAAGCCTATCAACAGCCTGAACAACCAGCCTATAAACAACAGCCTGAACAACAAGCCTGAACAATAAGCCTATAAACAGCCTAAAAAACAAGCTTACAAACAACAGCATAAACAGCCTGAACAACAAGCCTATCAACAACAGCATAAACAGCCTGAACAACAAGCCTATCAACAACAGCATAAACAGCCTGAACAACAAGCCTATAAACAACAGCCTGAACAACAGCCTGAACAACAAGCCTATAAACAGCCTGAACAACAAGCCTATAAACAGCCTGAACAACAAGCCTGAACAACAAGCCTATAAACAGCCTGAACAACAAGCCTATAAACAACACGCCTATAAACAGCCTGAACAACAGCTTGAACAACAAGCCTATAAACAGCCTGAACAACAAGCCTATAAACAACAGCCTGAACAACAAGCCTATAAACAGCCTGAACAACAAGCCTGAACAACAAGCCTATTGATCGAATACTGCTCCCTTCAGGGGTCAACGTCTCGGTAGGTTATTTATATTTTTTGGGGGTTATAATAGGGTTGTCTTAGACCTATGGGTTAGATAAAGTGAGCTATTTTGGGGTGTTTTTTAAGTATATAGTTATTATAGTGGGTTATAGTGGGTTAGGATAGTAGGGTAGTATGAGTACTATAGCATCATAGTTTTAAGCTTTCAATGCTTAAGTTTGAACATTGTAATAGTTCTGCACCAGTGATTTCAATTTAGAATGTTAAAGTCCGCGTTCAGCAATTGAAATAAATGGTGGTACAGAAAGCTCTATATTTTTAAAAGTATAAATGGGAGCATATTGAAGCTACATAAGATGAGCCAGTATGCACATTTCAATGTTGGTTTGGTGTTTGTAGCCTAAACGCTTTTTAGAGCAGTGGTGAATCCAAAAATGTACAATTGTGGCCTATGGAGTCTTTATGCACATTTTAAATGGTTAGAGTTTAAAAGTATAAACAGTATTAAAACTCTTTTGACAAGCAACTTAAGTTGAGTCAGACTGCACCATTTAAAGTTGGTTTGGTGTTTGTAGCTTAAACAGTTGAAGACTAGGTGAATTTAAGTGAGACCATCCTTTTACTCTCTTCAAACCATTGTCTACTACACTGCTCTCATCACCCCACAGGGGATCATCGACACGGCTGATTAGCCGTCCTCAGAAGACCACTTCCAGAACGAGTGAAAGTAAACAGACGACTAAGAAGAAGGACATTGTGACCTCTTGTGGACAATCTGAGCCTTACATCTGAGCCTTACATCTAAAAGGCCAACCGAAAAGAGAAGGCCCAATCGACCCTTCCCAAAAAGGCCAGTGTCCAACAGAGACGACAAAGACAAACACGTAAATACATGCATTACTTCTTACCAAACAGGGGGCAGTTCTGGCAATGTATTAGGATTACTATGAGCTTAGGTCCATGTGTATCCAAGTGTTTCTCTCTCTCTCTCTTTAACTCGCCATCTTTTGTAACAAGTGTCATATTGTGTTAGTCCGCTAGGGACCAGTTTTCATTGTATTACGTTTCTAATCCCTACCTATACTGTGTATGTGTTTGTATCTTGTGTTATAATTTTTATTAGTTAGTAAATAAATAATTTAATCAATTTGTGGGGTACGGAATGATCATTAAGACCCGGGTTCGTGCAGACTGAAAGCCTATGACTTTCAGAATGAGACTGATATGAGATAAATTATTAATAAATGACTGTTAAATGATAAGCGATATCTTTAGAGTTAATTCGGGAAACGGTAACTCATTAAACAACTTTTCCCGTGGTGCCCCAAATTCCTAATGAGTTAATTGTTACATTATTACTTTAATCTAGTAACAATGAAACATAGTAGGTAATTATTCGATAAATAATAGTCATCACAATAATGAAAGGCACGACATGGTGTTAGTAGTTTCTACGGTTTTGGCGC